GTAAAGACGGAAGAAAGATCATTCAAATCTTTGGCAACTTCTGGTCACAACCTCAGAGATTGTTTCTGGATTGCTTCTTGAACTCTTTCTGGGATAATTAATTTTACTTTCCTTAACATCCTTCCTGATACTCATCTTCTAAACTTCCACGTGAGACTACTGCTTTCTTGTCTCCCACAGTAGACTGGGGAGCAGGCTGGGGAGCAGTTGTCGGGTAACAGGTCAGATGTATTAATAGGCAGGCCATATGGTTCACAGACATTTTGCTCTCAACAACTTGATAAGAATTCTGGTGGTATGATTTTTGTTTTTAATTTTGACTATGAAAGTGTAGAACCATCTGCTGTTTTTTTTTGTATGTGATCCTGGTAGGTTATTAATTTTAGTTACACTGCTCCTATGCAATTAGCACTGCTGTATACGGAGGCTTCATGGCAATGCTGGCACATTTCATTTTCAGTATTAGTGAATGTCAGATGTGTGTCTCATAAGATCCCCTTCATAAGTTACAGCAGGCTTGCCTACACGCAGTTGGGTCTTGGGCAGTATATGGTTTCTCTTTTAGCTGGTTAAATGCTTCAGTTGCAGTGGTCCACTTGATTGGTTGGGAAGAGGTATGTGGAGCAAACCAAAGAGGGTCATGTGATAGTGATGCCAAGGTGGAGTGGGGCTGCTTTAGTCAACATCATGGAAGCCCTGGAAGGAGGATAAATCTGAAATCTGACCAACATATATATATATATATTTTTTGGTACTGGGGATTGAACTCTGGACCTTGCACTTGCAAGACAGGTGGTGAAACCACTGAGCTAGATCCCTGGCCCATGAAATCTGAAGGATGATGAGACAGCCAAATGGAGATCAGTGAAAATTTCAAGGGGGAGAATTCTAAAGGGAAGGAAGGACTCAGAGTACAGGAGGTACAGGAGGAAGTCCATTGGGCCACACTCTCTAGTGAGGGGAGGAGAATGCAGGAAGCTCAGGGTACAGAGGGCCTAGTTAGGAACCATGGAAGAGTTGCAGAGAGATGATATGATCTGACTTACAGTTTTAGAGTGTTTGTTTTGGCTGCTGAGTCGAAGTGGATTGTTAGGAGGAAGAAGGACAGCAGGGAGACCAATCAGGAGGCTCTAGCTGTTGTGCAGAAGAAATTGATGGATGGGTTGGGTATGTAGCTCACTGGTAGAGCGCTTGCTTAGCATGTGTGAGTCCTTGGGTTCAGTCTGCAGCACCAAAAAATATTTTTTTTAATAGAAGAGATTGATGGAGAAATGATGTGCTGAGATTGTGTGATGTCATGATAAGAAGAGATAGATGTTGGGATGTATTTTGGATGTGGAATTGTGTACATACTGCATGATGCTTAGGTTTTCAGTCTGATTACTTAGGTGATTGATAGTAGTGTTTTTACTCACATATGGAAGGTCTGATGGTCTCATTTGGCCAGTTAAGTTTGGGATCACTGATAAGACACCCAAGTATACATTTCTAGTAGATATATGAAGGTTCTATGAGAGATGAAGGCTGAAATGTTCATTTAAAGTATGTGAAGATCAAGAATGTCAACAGAAAAGAGACTTAGGTCTGGGCCCTGGATACATCATCATTTAGAAATCTGAAAAAGACGCCAGCAAAGGATACTGATGGAGGTACCCAGGGATGTTGTAGAGAACCATGTGCCATATAGACACCTGGAAAGGAAAAGTATTTCCAAGGGTGGTGAATGGTGTGCTCACTATCTGATTTCAAGTGCTAGTATCCAGCACCTATATAGCAATGCAATTTGAAAAGTCTGTTGTGTAGCTGTAAACTCAGTGATGATTGGCTGAACCCAATGCTGCCAACAGAACTCTCAGCCACTGTGGGATCAGAAACAGGGAGGATCTTGTCTCCTAGAGGGTTCTGGGGAGGAGGCTTTCTTCCAGTCTCTATCAAGGTTTGTGAGATTGTCATACCATTACTAAAGGAGCAAAGATGAACTAGTGTGGTGAGTGGTTTTTTTATTATTGTTTAATAGGAATTGTATGAAGAGCTGGTGCAAGTCAGTTTTCTGAAAACATCCAGTAACTAAATTCTAATCAATCTCTTCTAAGGCTTAAGGATCACCTAAAATAAAAGATTATAACTAAGTGCATGAAAGCACATGTAAAAATGTTTATGTTTTAAACCAATACTTAACATGTTAATCCTGACAAGGAAAGTGTGAAATCATCTTAGAAATGTTATCTTTTCTTAGGATCAGTGTATTCATATGACTTGAAGGCAGCTTCTCTTTGGGAGTTAACTGTTAGCTTTAGATCATGGAAGAGTACTGTACTGTCACTTGATAGATGACTATTTAAAAGAAGTGTAGCAAATTCTTATTTAATACCTTTGTTAAAGTCAAAATATAATGTACTACAGTAAACATCTTAAGTTGAAGGGAAAAATTGCAGAGTCTTACTTTTTTTAATCTATCTATTTATTTTAGTGTTTTTGAGACAAGGTCTCACTGTGTAGTCCAGGTTGGTCTTGAATTCGCTTTGGTAGCCCAGGTTGGCCTCAAACTCATGGTGATCCTCCTGCCTCAGCCTCCCCAGTGCTGGGACAACAAGTATACACCACCATGCCCAGCCCATGCCCTATAGTTTAATTAAAGCCATTTTTTCATGTCTGCTTTTTTGGTACTGGGAATTAACCCAGTGCCTTTGCACTGAGCTGTATTCCTGGCCCATATATATATAATTTTTTCTTTTCTTTTGCTAAGTCTCTGAGATGTCCAGGGTGGGCTTGAATTTGAGGTCCTTCTTCTTCAGCCTCCTAGAGTGCTGAGATTATAAATATGTACCACGGTGCCCAACTCCCTGCTGTATTAGGTACATTTTCCCTAAAAGCCAACATTGCACTGTAAACAAGATGATTTATTTATTTTTTGGTAACTCTCATTAAGTTTGGGGAAATGATGGGTTTTAAATTAAGCAAAGCTGCCTTTCCTTTCCAGAATTTTTTTGGTTTTGTACCGGGGATCGAACTTAGGACCTTGAGCTTTTGAGGCAGGCGGTGGAACCACTGAGCTAAATCCCTGGCCCCAGAAGTTTTGATGGATAGTAAATACTTAGGCAAACTCTAAATGCTTATTCTTACCCTTTACCCAACTGACACTTAGTTGAATTTTATGACTAGATGAAGTTAATAGGAATGTAGTGGGTAAGAGTTGGCAATGGATTGTGTTGAGAAATATTTATTTGGCTATTCAACCTGGTTAACTGCAGAAGGAAACAAAACTGGTAGTAAAACATCAGAAAATGTTCCCTTTCCATAATTTTAGCAGAATGACCCTAGTTCTGATGCTATGCATCAAAACGGAGTTTTAGGGTACTTGAAAATTCTGCATTTTTCTAAGACCAAACTAGAAGTAGGTCATTTACCTGGTTTGCTTAATCCCATTTTCAAAGACTAATCTTCCCTTTTCTTTTCTTTTTTGGTATGGGGAATCAAACTCAGGACCTTGTGCCTTCGAGGCAGGCGGTGGAACCACTGAGCTAAATCCCAGCCCAGAGACTAATGTTCAAGTCTTAGGCCTAAAGCATGGTACTTTGCCTCCATTCAGCTCTACTCATAGTGATGAGTGAGTAAACCAGTAAGCCAGTCTGACAGCGCTGTGCTTTCTGTGTGTGAAGGTTATAGGATGTAACAAGCAATGTGCTTGGACCCCTCATGAGCAGTTATCTTTTCAAGGAGTCAGACTGTCCTTGGGTGATTCCTGATTCCTGGTATCTGAGGCCGCTCGTAGGATGTGTGGGGCTGGAGTGAAGGAGGCTTTTGGCTCTCTTCTCTCCTCCTTTGTCTTTCTTCCTCTCTTCTGCCTTTAGGGGAAGGAAGATGAAAGACCTTCTGGTGGGTGGGGGTGTGGGAGTCAGCAGGGTGGGTCACCACATGGCTAGGAACTATTGGTAGAGAAGAGGTGCCCTTTGGACCTGTGTCTTACCCACTACCTTCCTCAGTGCTCAGCACTGCCTGGCATGAAAATGCTTAATAACTCTTTATTGACTATTGACTGAATACCAGGGCTCACGTAGTGCTGTAGTAGAGCTTTCTTCTTCCTCTTTTGCTGGTTGTTTTCTGGAATTGCCTGTGGTGCAGCATCAAACCAAATTGCAAGACCCCATGTGTGTGTGTGTGTGTGTGTGTGTGTGTAGGGATCTCTTGTTTTACTGCACAGAGGGCCCTCTTTGTCTCAGAAGCCTCAAACACTTGAATTGTTCGGGGCAAAAGCAATACTACTGTTTACTAAGAGCAGCTTTTAAAATCTGGTCTTGTCTTCCCATTAAATAAAATCTCAGCATATGACCTTGGCTGGCAGCGCCCTACACGAACTGGTTTCTGATTTCCTGGCTGACGTCAACTTGCAGCACTCCTCCATATTTTGAACACACCAGGTCTTTTGCTGTCTGCTTATACTTTTGCCTGGAATGTTCTCCACAGCTTTTCCCAAGTTTCTGTCTTTCTGATTCTTTCAAGATCCACTTATCGAAGACTTCTTCACCAAAACCCTCCTTGCCTGATCTGTCATTCCTTTGTTCCTTCATTTTATATCTCAGCCTTTTGCATTTTCCTGTGCTTGCTTTCTTGCTTATTAGCTCTCTGCTCCACTCACTTGAACAGTTCTCAAGGGCAGGACATTTTTTTGTTTATTCATCATCCAGTCCTGTGTAAACTCTCAACTAATACACATTCAAATGAATGAATAAAATGTCAGTCTATCTTTCATCAAAGAAAAATATTTTAAATTTAAGTAAGTATTTTTTTCCTCTCAGATTCTCAATCTACAATCTACATATACACAATGTGTTTGCTGTTCATACTGCAAAAATTCCCCAGTAAGATAAGGAACTGCCTTTAAAGAATAAGTCCAATGATTTAGTGCCTGTGGTCTAACTACTAATATTCATGTGCTTTTTTTCCCTCAACTTCTGATGTGTTCTCTCCACCCATTTCTTTCTTTTGTCTGTCTTTTTCAGCAAGGGAAGCCGTATGTCTTTGACAGAGTACTGCCGCCCAATACAACCCAAGAGCAGGTTTACAATGCATGTGCAAAGCAAATTGTCAAAGGTAAGTGCTATTTCTTTATTTCCTCCTGGGCCTTTCAGAGTAATGGGAAAACATTAAGTGATATTTGCAGCCCAGAAATCCACGTGCCTTGATTGTAAGCAGGGGCCTGCTAATTAGAAACACTGAATTACAGCCTTTGCTCTGGCCCTGCTTTGCTGAGATGTCAGGCAAGTTATTCAGTCTCTCACTACGTCTTTTCTTTATTTATTTTGCTGCCTTTTTGGTAGAATTTTTATGTTCCTTGAAAGCTTAAAAGCAGGGTAAGCTATGGTCACACTGTTTCTGTAATGGTTTTAAAATATGGCAGGTATTGAATCTCCTTTTTCCTTTGAAGGAGAAAATATTCTTGATCCTCTCGTTGTATATCTTTGGCTGATTTATTTCATGCATCTGTCTCCTTTTTATGAATGTCTCTTTGAAAGAAGTTTTAAATGTGGAAAATTCTCGCCATCAAGGAATTTTCTAGTGTCATAAAATCCTATCAGCCTGCTGGTTATTGAGCTCTTCATGCTCATAAGCATTCCTTAATTATCATTCCATCTAACCCTCTTCCAGCCATCCTACCCAGATCCTGACATTTGTTCTTCCAAACAGGGAGTCTCAAGCCTGCATTTGTGTCTCAGAGATCGTTCTTTTTTCTGGGACTGGCCTTGGCTCTGGAGGATTTGTGTCATAATAACAGCAGGGAGATAAAGCAATTTACACATTGCTCCACCTTGCCCTTCCAAAGCAGGGGCAGGTTGGAGCTTGCCTTGGCAGAGCCTGCCATCTGGGCAGAGCTGGGGGCATTTCCTGCTCTTTGGCTTTTTCTCATCACAGCCTTGCCATTGAATTTGAATGCTGTGGCGACTGTGCTTTGAAGTGCCTCATTGCTGCCACTACTGTAGGTAGTTTTGGATTTAAAAAGCAAAAGGTAGGGCTGGGGATTTAGCTCAGTGGTTCCGGCACCTGGCTCAAAAGTACAAGGTCTTCAGTTTGACCCCCATACCAAAAAACAAAACAAAACAAAACAGAAAATACCTTGCTGTTTTAGATCTGCTTGTTTTTAGAGGCTAAGCTGACAAACCTATTTGAAATTCATAAAAATCAGCCTTGGGTACATCTGTTAGATTAATTCTGACCCTGGCCACCTGCGTGGGAGACTTGCGTCAGTATGTAATGTTCCTTGCTGAGATGTATGGTTATTCACATTCTTGTTGCAGACATCAATTAATTTTGAAGGTCTTCATAGTAAGATTATGATAGAAAAGTGAAGAGAAAAAGTTATGCTTGAATTTGAGCTCCTTTTTTATTAATAGTTTGGGTCTATATCTGGTGGTAACTTTTGTCTTCTCTTTACTTCTACTCTTTTGGTTCTCTTTTTATTTAAACATATTTTCTCTCTTTTTTAAAGCCTTTCTTCTTGGTTGGATTCTATTTAGCCCTCCTTCCCCTATAATATTGGGTTCATTCAAATTTTACTAGAGTAAGATTAATCACATATGTGCCACATTTCCTTCTTTTTTCTCTCCTCTTTCATTATCAGAAGCAAATAGTATTTACCACATGCAGTGCTAAGCATGAAGGCCATTTAAATACATCCCATCCACTCTAAACTGACTTAATTAGGAGCAAATGCATTCCATTAAAAAAAAATCTCATGATTAACACAATAGTAATATATTTGAGTCTTTATTCACTAGGTATTTGGGCCCCTCTTAATGTTTGAATTTTTCTATAGTATGAAGTGTCAGTTCCATCCCATTAATATATAAAATTTAAATGTTTTTATGTATCAGTTTTAAAATAAATTTTTTAAGAAAAGAAATAGTCCCCAGGAAGTTCTTGTGAAGATATGACCTAACTCTGGTTACCTTGAGACTCCACATATATAGTAAGCCACAAAGAAAACCACTTAGAATAAAATCGGGCTTTCACATGATATGATAAACAGGCATTTCTATGGCACCATAAATATAACATGAGCATACTCATTTGATAGTAGCAAAGAATACCTTATTATCCATTGAAAAAGAAATGGTTAGGGTGTGATGAGGTCTGGAATGAAGTTTTAAAAATATCCACTGAAGCTAGAATAAGGAGAGTGGCCATGTATTTCTGCATCCACACAGTAAATTTTTTTTTTTTAAATTGAAGAATTTTATTGTTATTGAATGAAAACAGAATAGCATAATAAACTGTAAAAATAAGTAAACTTTTATATCCACGAGACCTCTTATTTTACAAATGAGTAGGTTTCAAATAATTACAAGACTTGTTCAATTTTCACATCCAATCAGTAATTATGCTGGAACTAAAACTGTACGAAATCTCCAGATGTTTGGACAATTATTATAAAGAATCATATACCGCTCAGTGGTTCTGCCTCCTCCACATACCAAAGCAGAAAAGATGTAAACAAAAGCTGAAAATGATAAAGTATAGGTTACATTCTACAACTTAATACAATCAATAGGAGTTTTTAAAAAAAAGACCTGTGAGCTGGTCCCAGCACCCGGAAGGAAGCTCCTCCGCTGCCATCCCAAGCTACTAGGTCAGAGAAGCTGAGCTGGTCCCAGCACCTGGAAGGAAGATCCCCCAGTGCCATCCCAAGCTCCTAGGGCACAGAAGGTAAGCCGCGTGGGTGCCAGAAGCACCCCCCACCCCCACCCTGTGGAAATGAGAAGACACATAAACAAGCCTCAAAAACAGACTTCCAGATCACTTACAGTAAGCCCAAAGGGAAAAGAGATGGAACA